CAGCAGGAACACTTTGCTGTTCAGCAGATTGGAGAGCTGGCCCAGGCCCTGCTCCACCGTGGCGCGGCGTCCCTCGGGCAGGTCCAGCCCCCGCCGTAGGACGGCACCTCCCTGGCCGGGGAAGAAGACCCGCTGGGCGTAGGTGTTGTAGTCCAGGAACGGGATCCCAGAGCCCTCAAGCTCTCCGCTCAGGTCGGTCATTTCTGTCATCAGGTCTGCAGAACGGGGTGGGGGGGGGGAGAGAAGAAAAACACGAGATGTAGAATTTCAACCTTTGGCATCGGTTAAAAACAGCTACCCTGCTGACAGAATTCTTCACCCAAAGGCTGCTTGCCGCGACTACAAAGAATGCTTCCTGATCCACAACTAAAGCCAGTTTGGTGTAGTGGTTTAAGAGCGCGGACTCTGATCTGGGGGAACCGGGTTTGATTCCCCCACTCCTCCACATGCAGCTGCTGGTGTGACCTTGGGTCAGTCACAAGTTCGCTCAGAGCTGTTCTCTCAAAGGCAGTCCTCGAAAGAGGTCTCTCTCAGCCCCGCCTCCCTCGCAGGGTGTCTGTTGTGGGCTGGGGAAGGGAAAGGAGTCTGTAAGCCGCTCTGAGGCTCCCTTGGGTAGTGAAGGGCGGGGTAGAAATCCAATCTCTTCTTCTTCTTCTTCTAAATCGTCCTGTCTGGAATTCAGAAGGCTTCCCCCCTCCCCCCCGGCAAGCTCCCTCCCGATACCCTGGCCCCTCTGAAGTTAAGCCGGCGATGCTTCTTCGAGCATTCCCCCATCTTTTCTTATTTGAATGAAACCGGTCTGTTTTTACACTCAAGACTGGTTCACGCTGTTGTTTTTCATTTCAGATAGACAGCCCGCCCCCCTCCAATTTCTCCAACAGAAAATAGTTTCAGTTTAGTTTATTGTAATTAGCCATTGGCCGTTACAAAATTACAAAACACAAACTGTGAACAAATTAGAGGTTAAAAGTCAGAATACACAATAATACCAGAGACCAGTAACAAAATATGACTCATTCAATACAGTAGCCTAAATAGCGCCCCTTCCCGATGCCATCTTGGAACGTATATCCTTTGCAGCAAGGGCAAATAATGAAACTTTACAAGAGACCTATGCATCAGTATCAGATAACAAAAATGAAAATTTTATCCTCAACTGAGTAAGCCCTAAGACCAGACAAAATACTTGGTAAAAACTTAGCCCTCGGACTAGAATACAGTGGGCAAAAGAGGATATAGTGAGGTAAATCCTCAAGTTTGTGGATGCCACAAATACATAGATGATGGGCCAGTGGAATTTGATTGAATCGGCCCTCCAAAATTGCTGTTGGCGTTGATTGAAACCGTAGAGAGGTAAGACAGAAAACAGGGAAACCTGAGGGAGTACCGGGGGTGGGGGTGGGGGAGAACGGGGACACAACACTTTCAAAATGGTTCTGACAAGGCACCGCACCAAAAACACGCAAGTAAACCCTTGTCTCTTCCAAGTAGCTCCAGGAAACACCCGAAACTCTATGGTCAGAACTTCCGGCAAGCGGCCAAGGCCTTGTTTTCCCTTTTAAATTTTCCTCCAGGTCCTCTACCATTCCCCCCACCAACCCTCTACTAGTTGCCAGGTGGCAGTGCCCAGCAACCCTACTGCCCCCCATGCGTCACTATGTCCTCTGCCCTCTCAGTACACAGACCACCTGAAGCCACAACGTTCTATAGGAACACGCTTCCTCGTTGACCGACGCGATGAGCGACAAGAACATACGAGAGAATTTCCGTATCTTAGCAGCCGTTAGAAGACAAGAAGCTACATCTGACGGGGCAGCCGACGACCCCAGTTTCCCGCTCGAAGGAACGGCTTTCCGTATTCTCTCACAGCCCAGAATCTTTCTTTCTTTATTAGTTACAACCATAGATCCGTCACGACGGACACTCATAGTTATCAGCACATTTGCAAACAATAAAATTCCCAGGCAGCCCGGCAGGCTGATTTCAACAGTAGAGACGATTCATAAGAAGGCTTGACCGGCGGCTTCCTTGTTGATCTTGCCGAGGGGCAAAATCTGGCCGCCTCAGAGGTGATTTTGTTAGACAGCCCAGAATCACAAATAATACTCAGGGCTCCGCTGCACGTTAAATGTTTCTCCTTGCTAAACAACTATTTTTACTTCTGCAAACGCAGAAC